GCCAGGGACACCTGCTTGCTCTGCTCCAGCCCCGGCACGCTCGGGGCCATCACTTTGCAGCTGAAGTTGTTGGAGTTTTCGAAGGTGAGGTTGCTGAGGAAGAGCTGGTTGCCATTCGCCAGCTCCTTGCCCTGTTGGGAAGGGATGGCCCCAGCAGTGAGCCCTCTGTGCCCAAAGGGGTTCAGATCTCCCTGCCATGCACAGCGAGGGAGGCTGCGAGCTGGACCGGCCAGGAGGGGACAACATTGGGGTGGAAAATGGAATCCCTCCCCTGGTGAGCTCTCTGCCAAATCTACTGCAAAGCCCAGGCTGAGTTTGGATGCCTCGCTCACCTTCTCATCCCTCCACTGGTACTTCAAGTCCACGGGGCTGTGGGCATCGCAGCTCAGCGTCACACTGTCCCCTTCATGAAGGGTCGAGGACGGCTCCATCTTCACACGGACCCCTTCGATGTCTGTGAGAGGGACAGACACCARGGCAGGGTGAGCAGRAGGAACAAAKCACCCACCACGAGCTCCACAGGGTGCAATTCCCAAATCTTACAGTTCACAACGAGGTCCACGTCCTCCTCCATCTGTGTCATGTCATCCAGGTCCAGGGACTGGCACTTGTACGTGCCGCTGCTGCTCTTGTTCACATGGTGCAGGTTCAGGACGCCGCTGTCGGGCTCTGCCAGCCACGACAGATCCAGCCAGTCGTCCACCTGCAGATGGTGGGCACAAACAGAGCCCTCAGCCCCAYACAGRCCCTGAATCCCCTTCCCCAGGACCCTCTGTGCAGGGGACAAGGACCAACCAGGTGTTGGCCAAGGGATGGTGCCCAGGAGCCTCCTGGCCTCACCGTTTTCTTCAAGAAGCTGAAGACGGGCTGTGGGTTGCCATCAGTCTCACAGACCAGCTGCACATCGTCCCCTTCTTTCACCAGCTCCGAGGCCGACACCACCTTCAGCTTCAAATGCTCAGCGGGGTCTGGGGGCAGCGACGGGCAGGGTCAGTGCCCATCCCCGCTGCCGGGCACCGGCACATCCCCCCGGCCCCAAACTCACAGAAAACGTTGACCTTGACCCCCCGTGAGTCCAGGGAGCTCCTCTGTCCCCGCAGCCAGTAGTGCACGGTGCAGTGGTAGCGGGAGTGGCGGTCCTGGCGCCGCACGGGCGCGTACAGCGCGCTGCTCACCGTGTACAGCCCGCTCGACTCGCGCGTCAGCGTCGATGGGATYGTCACCTCTGCGGGGACACAGCCGCTGTTCCAGCCCCAAACCAGGGCTCCCTCGGGCTCCTGGGGTGCCAGCCCCCACCCAGCCCCTCTCCCATCCCACTCACGGTTCTCYCCGTGCTGCAGCAGTTCCCCGTTCTTGTGCCATGTGATGTTGGGAGGGGGGAAGCCGTTCCTGCTCACGCATTTGGCGATCTGTGAYGGCAGAGACAGCCCTGAGCACGGCTGAGGGACAGCAGGGAGCCTCCCCCTCCCCTGTGTGCAACCCCTCCTCACCTCCGGGATTTCACTGCTCTGCACAGAGATTCCTCCTGAGTTGGGCTCAATCTCAGGCACTGTGGGGACCTCTGGAAGAGAGGGAACCCCACACCATGGGATGGGATGGGATGGGATGGGATGGGATGGGATGGGATGGGATGGGATCCTTGCCAGCCCAGCCTCACTGCCCTCCCGCCCCAGCACTCACTGTAGACTCTGAGTTGGGTGCTGTTCTCTCCCACACCGTAGCTGCCAGCCCCGACCTGGCACATGAAGGTCCTGGCATCCTGCAGTGTCACCCTGCTGATGGACAGGGCCTTGTCCTTGCCCAGGGACAGCCGCTCYTTGAAATCCGTGTCGTCCTGCAGGACCCCGCTGGCCGTGGCGTGGTACAGCCTCACCTGCTTGTTGCTGCGGTCCACCTGCCAGGAGAGGGGCAAGGCTGGGCTGGACAGCCCTGCAGGACACCCTGGGCTGGCTGCACCCCCAGCCCAGCAGCCAGAGCTGCTCTCCCAGGCCAGCACTCACGTAGAACCAGTCGATGTAGGTGTAGGAAGCATTTTCTGGGATGTAGAAGTTGCACTCGATCCTGGCTGTGCCCCCGACCTCCACGTCCAGCACAGGTGGCATGGAGATCTCCAGCCTGCTGGCTGCAGCTGTGGGACAGAATTCACTGCTAGGGGCAGGAAGAATGGGGAATGCCCTGGGTCCGAGCACTGTCCCCATCTCCATCCCCCAAAAGCTGTGGGGCAGAGCTGCGCCCTGTGCCAGTGTCCCTTAAACACCGTGTCACCGTGTCACCGTGTCCAGCAGGGGTGACAATCAGGTGCCACACTGCCTTCAGCATCCTGAGAGAGCTCAGGCCAG